ATATCTGGTCTCCCCGGACCCTGCATTCACTATATCCAGTCTCCCTGGACCCTGCATTCACTATTTCTGGTCTCCCTGGACCCTGCATTCACTATATCTGGTCTCCCACAGTACACAAAACATGGAAATGCAATTATTTCAGTAAATATAAACTGCTAAATACCTTTTCTCATCAGCAGTATATAGCAGTCTTGTGACTTCTATCAGTGTCCAGCAGAGCACTGGTTAAAGCTTGTAGGAGAAGTTTTCATTCTCCCCCAATTATCCTATGAGGCTGCATGACCCCTGACCCTAGACAGTGCTGATTGGCGCTGTGTTGATCACATGCACTATCCCAAGAAAAAATAAAAGCCCCTCTAGCAATACACACCAAACTGAGCATGCACAGCTTGCCCTCAAGGCTCTGTACTATCAGCAGATGGATTCGGGACAGTAGAAGAAGGGGTGGATCAGAGAAGACAGGATCAAACAGCATTTTTTACACGATGCAGAGGATTACCCCCTAGGTTCTATAGTGAGTATAACAAGCTTTCTTTACTGCGTATACAGACTGATTGTACTGTTGCGGGTTTAGTCCCCAGTCACAATAGTGCAAATTTTAATGCGATTTGATCGTTTCAAATCGCATGACAAATCACACCCTATTGTTTGTCATATCGGTGCGATTCTGACTGCACTGGAGCAGGGGCGGACTGACAACTCATGGGGCCCCTGGGAAATAGGGGATCACGTGGCCCCTGTGTCCTTGCCCAAACTCAAAAAAGCCTATGAAAAAGGTACCAGGTGCATCTCACGGGGCCCCCTACTGACCCCGGCCCTCGGGCAGTGCCAAGTTTCCAAATGGTCAGTCCCCCCCTGTGCCGGAGTTGCACCGATTTGCACTACTTTTTACAAGTTCAGGTGTGACTCGCATAGACATTTGTACATGAAGTTGCACAGATGTCTTCCAAGTGGCACCCGAAGTCAGACTGACATCCGACTATGAAATTGTGTGAACTCAAGTGAAGTCGCACGATGTCAAAGTCAGATTTGGTGTCACCGAAGACTCTGTAACACGTTAATATCATTAGCGATGGTCTTTGCTATTTTTATTTTCACAATATTTAAATAATTTATTCATACTTTGTAACAATCCTCTGACAGTGTGCACTGTGTGAAAAAAATATAATATATTTTTAGGGCATTTTGGATGAAATGTTTTTAGTGAAACAGGTAAGACGATAAACAGATCTTCAATCCTCTATATCTGCCACACGTGGGAATTTTATAATCAAACCATACGGCCATTAGGGCGACTGTCCATAGACATGCTGCTATAGGATCTGTTTAATTGCATTTGTAATTGGCTAAGGCTGTGTGTCATTGGACAGAACCCCTCCCACTTCTGCTTCAGGGTATAAATTCAGGACAGCAAAAGCTGAAACCTTCACTGAGCATCTCACAGATCAATCATGAAGCTTCGTGTGTTCGCAGTCTTGCTGTGCTTGGCAGGTATGACCATGGGAGGCAAACAAGGCACCTGTTCAGGGGGGCACTTTTCAGAGGGGCAGCGCCGCGCCTCGGAAGAAGGGACGTCAGTGATGTCACTACAGCAGAGGAATCCAGTGAGGAGTGGGAGTATCAGGCCTCCCCTGGACACTGCCGTCCTCTGGGATCATCTCTCAGTCCTGGCTTCCCACCACCATCCACTGTGGAGAGCTCTGACCCTCAGAGCAGCCTGGCCTGGGCACACTGCATGCTGGGAGTTGTAGTCTTTCCCCCACCTCTGACCTGCAGCCTCCACAGGAGTGAACTACAATCCCGGCAAGGTGTGTGGGGGGGGGGGAAGGACTACAACTTCCAGCATGCAGTGTGCCTGGCCAGGCTGCAGGCTGCTCTGAGGGTCGTAGCTCTCTGCAGGGGATGGTGGTGGGGAGCCAGGACTGAGTAGTGATCCTGGAGGATGGCAGTGTGCTGGGGAGGCAGGGATCTCTGTCAGAGGGAAGGGAAATGCGGCTGTGAGGATACATACCGGCAGTACATGGCTGCCCCCCTCGGTCCCCACCCCTCCACCAGGCCTGGTGAGTGGTCTCCATCCTACTGCTGTGTATATCATGTATACTATGGGGGGGCTGACAGACTGCCAGGTGACTGACTCATGCCACTGACCGCTTCCTGCTGCTCGTACCACTAACTGACACCTTCACAGAAAGATGTGGCCAACCACTAAGTTCCGCCCAGCAAATATTGGTGCACTAGAGACAGTGGGGGTGCAATGGGGGGGATTTTTGTGTTGCCTATGGCAGCAGAAAACCTAAATCCACCACTGGGTATGACATTTAATTGTACTATACAATAGTTCTGTGGTGTGGTTTTTGTTTCTAATAAATGGTGTGTATTTAAAAAACATCAGTTGGACGATTGTCACAAGCATTTTCCTCATATCTTTTCTTATTCTATAGACTTCCTATGATCGCCAGCTCCATCTAGTGGCCGACATGTTATATATCCTAGTTGAGGTGTTTTCTTTAAATATACTGCATTTTGGCCACTAGATGGAGCGGACGATCATAGGAAGGGATAATATAAGAGGAAATGTGGTTGGTGTAAAATTCGTGCAGCCTGAGCAAATGCTTCGTCCATTGATGAATGTTTTATAAATAGACCCCCTAAGTAATGCTAATTAACAATTTTGATTTAATTTGTAAAAATGAGAAATACTCAATGGAAATGCCATACATGGCTGCTTGGCTTCTGTGGGAAGTGGAACTTTTTGACCAATGTTGTTACAAATGGAAGATATAGAACATCCCTATTTATAAATTTCCTTTTTTCAAATCTCTGCTTTTTCACTGCTCTGCTGTATATTATAACAAACTGGATTCCAGGCAAATGTAAGACACAGAATAATGCAAATTATGTATTAATCCGGGCGTTTATTTCTCAGAGGTCCAAGTCACCCCTTGTCTCCGTCCCGCACCGTCCCGGAGTTCCACCCCTTACCTACCCCCCAGTGCCACCCTTTAAAGAATACAGAACCAAATATCAATTGGTATGGAATTTGTAATAAGAAAAGTAGCAAAATGGATCCCTTGCAGCCAGCAACAGACACCCCCCCCCCCCCCTCCCCCTCCCCCAGCAGCAATGGACCACCTGCAACAATAGTCCCCCCAGGAGCATCGACTGATCTATCCAGTCAGCCTCAATAGATCCTCCAGCAGTTAATAGACCCCTCCCTTGGAGTAGATCCCTTCCTGAAACAATTGACCATACAATGGCATGAGACCCCCCCCCCCCCCCCACCAGCAACAGTAGACTTCCCTAGCATCATTAGATCCCCCTCCAGTGACAGCACATCCTCCCAGCAGACAGCATCAATGGACTGTGTAGTACACCCCCCACCACCCATTGCCATTTCATACATTCCGTGCTGGAGATTCCCCCACGTTCCAGCTGAAAAGACCCTGATATTAATACGTTTCATTTATTTTCTAATGCAATTTGACCTGATATCAGCCACTAAGTCCCAGCAGAGCTTAGACTGGGGGGAGAGGGACTGCACAGCAGAGCTTAGACTGGGGGGAGAGGGACTGCACAGCAGAGCTTAGACTGGGGGGGAGAGGGACTGCACAGCAGAGCTTAGACTGGGGGGAGAGGGACTGCACAGCAGAGCTTAGACTGGGGGGGAGAGGGACTGCACAGCAGAGCTTAGACTGGGGGGGAGAGGGACTGCACAGCAGAGCTTAGACTGGGGGGGAGAGGGACTGCACAGCAGAGCTTAGACTGGGGGGGAGAGGGACTGCACAGCAGAGCTTAGACTGGGGGGGAGAGGGACTGCACAGCAGAGCTTAGACTGGGGGGAGAGGGACTGCACAGCAGAGCTTAGACTGGGGGGAGAGGGACTGCACAGCAGAGCTTAGACTGGGGGGGAGAGGGACTGCACAGCAGAGCTTAGACTGGGGGGGAGAGGGACTGCACAGCAGAGCTTAGCTGGGGGGGAGAGGGACTAGCAGAGCTTAGACTGGGGGGAGAGGGACTGCACAGCAGAGCTTAGACTGGGGGGGAGAGGGACTGCACAGCAGAGCTTAGACTGGGGGGGAGAGGGACTGCACAGCAGAGCTTAGACTGGGGGGGAGAGGGACTGCACAGCAGAGCTTAGACTGGGGGGAGAGGGAGAGGCTTAGACTGCACAGCAGAGCTTAGACTGGGGGGGAGAGGGACTGCACAGCAGAGCTTAGACTGGGGGGGAGAGGGGACTGACTGGGGGGAGAGGGACTGCACAGCAGAGCTTAGACTGGGGGGGAGAGGGACTGCACAGCAGAGCTTAGACTGGGGGGGAGAGGGACTGCACAGCAGAGCTTAGACTGGGGGGGAGAGGGACTGCACAGCAGAGCTTAGACTGGGGGGGAGAGGGACTGCACAGCAGAGCTTAGACTGGGGGGGAGAGGGACTGCACAGCAGAGCTTAGACTGGGGGGGAGAGGGACTGCACAGCAGAGCTTAGACTGGGGGGGAGAGGGACTGCACAGCAGAGCTTAGACTGGGGGGGAGAGGGACTGCACAGCAGAGCTTAGACTGGGGGGGAGAGGGACTGCACAGCAGAGCTTAGACTGGGGGGGAGAGGGACTGCACAGCAGAGCTTAGACTGGGGGGAGAGAAGCTTACAAAGGAGCCAGTTAGCTCTTCTGCAATGTCCATGTGTTGGCAAGAGTATCTTGATAAGAGATAAGCTCATCAGTCTGCTGCTTCTCCTTTACTGTCCAGTCAAAGGCTGAGGGAGGGACAAGAACGTACAATGTTAACTGTATCAAAGAGAGAGCAGATCTTCTGTCCTGCCAGCTGCATGGCAGAGCTGTGCAAGTCTCAAATCTGGGTGAACAGAGCTACATATCCTTTGGTAGGTAAAAAGCTCCTTTTATATTTCCTCTGTTTACAGCCTGGAGTTGAGTGTTAAGCAATCTGCTGTTGTAGTGGCCGGACAATAAATGGTTCTATTCTCAATCTCTAACTGCAGTTGCCTTTGATGACAAGATTGTTGGAGGTTACATCTGCGCCAAGAATGCCGCTCCCTACCAGGTGTCCCTGAACTCCGGGTACCACTTCTGTGGGGGGACCCTGATAACTGACTTGTGGGTGATCTCTGCTGCTCAATGCTACAAACCGTAAGAGCAATTTCTCTCCTTTAAATCCTGTATTTTTCCTGTTCAACAGTCATCAGCAGAGCTCTCTGCATAAATACAAGGTGCTCAGGGGTGGGGCTAAGATGCACTCCAATCACTCTATCCTTAGTCCTATTGGTTGAATGATGCTGGGAAAACTGAGTACATCTTGTGGTATAGAGGTACTGTAGGCAGCAGTTTTTTTTTTTTTTTTTTATTTTTTTTATTTTTTTTTTATGGGCCCCAAAAAAAAATGCCCAGAACTGAAGCTTTAATCTTCCCCAATTACCTTATTATTCAACTTAACTGCTAAAATTGAGCACCTAAAGGCACACTGGTGCTATGTAAAAGACATGTTAACTACATAAAGGAATAAAGATCATTTTAGCATGTGATATGTATGTTTTGCTAATTTTTTTTTTTTTTTTCAGGAGCTTCCAGGTCAGACTAGGAGAACATAACATTGCTGAGCAAGAGGGTACCGAGCAGTTCATAGACTCCGCCAAGGTCATCAGACATGAACTCTACAACTCCCAAACTCTGGAAAATGACATCATGTTGGTCAAACTCTCCAAGCCAGCCTTTATGCAGCCCTACATCGAGGCCGCACCTCTGCCCTCTGGCTGCGCTGCCGCCGGTACCAACTGTCTGATCTCCGGATGGGGCAACACTCTGAGCAGCGGAAGTAAGTCACAAAGTATTTCCTAGTCTTTTGGACATCTAAATCTTGGAAAGTATCATACTTAGAAGATTTTTTTGCTTAGATTTTTACTCTGTACCCAGATCACCAATAACTCCAAGTGTGAAACCTTGGAAAGGTCAAACGTGGAAGATTCATTTTATGCTGACCTATATTTTTGTTTTATTTCCCTTTTTTAGGTAATTATCCAGATCTTCTGCAATGTCTGGATGCCCCAATTTTGTCCAGTCGCCAGTGCCAAAACTCTTACCCTGGTGAAAGCTCCGAAAATGTGTTCTGTGCTGGCTATCGGGCCGGTGGAAATGACTCCTGCCAGGTAATCTGTGACGGTTTTGTATATCTATCTGAGTAGGGTAGTACTAAATCCTCAAATGTACAAGAATATAAAAAAAGGAAAATCTGGTTTTTGAGGTACCAGAGACAACCAAATATATAAGATGTCTATCTTGTGATATTATAGGAGGTTTCCCTTAAGTGTGATGCTTACCAATGAGTTCAGTCCAGCCTGGGAATACGGGTTTAGGGCTATTGGCCCATTAAAAAAAAAAAAAAAATCCTTGCATCAGGATTCCCACACGGGGGGTCAGCTTTACACAGGATTTAAAGAAAAAACAGACTCCTGGCTATTTAGCAGCTCACCTTGTGTTACACAGCTCTCAGCCTGGGATGCATTTCAATCCAGAACACAACACTATGCTTCTGCACCACTGAAACTCCAGTTGTCAGCCTGGTCATGCAGACGTCTGCTCCCTGCAGTGCTGGCCTATGACCTGGGCAGGTGACTTCCTGTCTCCTGGGTGGGGACCAGAACAGTGGACAACACCTTGATTATAAAGGCTGTGCGCTCCTAGACACACAGCCTGCTGGTCCTCAGTAAAACTTGGAACTTCATCCCTCCAAAGACTTCTTGAAGCCTCTAAATTCCAGAACCCAATTCAAGAGTTGCAAAATACAGAGAAAAGTGGAATACCAGTTTTCTCTGCTTGGAGCACCCATTCTGGAGGACCTCAATCTGTATTAATGAGAACCCTGTGTGCCTATCTTCATTTTCTGTTTGGTTTCAGCAATAGATCACGTCTAATAGTGATCTATCACTGGCTGCAATCAGCCTGCAATAGATCACTCTAGCAGTGATCTACTGCTGTAGCTACAGGCTAGACAGAGGTGTAACAGCTCTGTGGTGGCCTCTATACTCAGAGGAAGTGCTGTAATGCCACTCTATTCCCCATGTAAACACAACAGTGAACTGTGTTTTAAATTCACACCTACAATGCAGTCCTATTTATTTTAGGTACTTGTATAGCGCCTTCAATTTATGCAGCACTTTACATATATTGTACATTCACATCAGTCCCTAACCCTCAAGGGGTGTACAATCTAAGGTCCCTAACTCACATTCATACATACACATACTAGGGACAATTAAGACAGGAGCCAAATTTACCTACCAGCATGTCTTTGGAGTGTGGAAGGAAACTGGAGTACCCAGAGGAAACACACGCAGGCACTGGGAGAACATAAACTCCAGGCAGGTGGTGCTGTGGTTGGGATTCAAAAACGACACTAGTACTGCCAGGCAGCTAACCACTGCCTGTCAGTCTGTATGACAATCAAAAGGCTAGGTGCTTATAGTGTCAGTGCCTGGGCTTACTGCTGTGAAACCATTGGCACTGACAACTGGTGGTTTTAGTTCCAGTGCTGTCAGGAACCACTGATCCCAGCACTGGGGATAGTAAGCCACTATCCCAGTGCTGTTTTTAAAATGGTGGATGGAACTTCAGTGGTTAAATTCAAACTGAACCTTTAGTTTAAATCCACTAAATACATTCCATGTGCACTCAAACTTTTTTTTTTTTTAGCCCAACTTTCATTTCCTTTATTCAGTCACATCCTGACCTTGTCCCCTGCCAGCATAATGTAGAGATGGTCCCTTCCCTTGTGGGGAAGCAGTGGTCTTTCTGCTGAAGTCTGACACATACTTTGAGTCAGACCTAATTCTCCAATCAGCAGGGAGAATGAGCTTTGCTGATTACAGGTCTGATCCCGCTTGGGTGTAGAGGACCTCTGCAGAGGGACCATTACTTCCCCAGCAAGGGCCCCACTCTGCAGCTGCTGGCAGGGGATAGGCATTTCTATTTAGGCTGTGACTGCTTTAGAAAGAAAGTGAACTGAAGACAGTGAACATCTTTTGAATTTGTTTACCTCTGGAATGTATTTAGCTGCTTTAAACCTGAAGGTTCAGTGGGCTTTAAGTATTAAACAAGATATACCACGGGTTAGCCTTTTTCAATCGTTTCAACACAGAAGAACCTTTTGAAATAAGTTTTTGGTGTCAAGGAACCCCTGCTAGAAATTACTATACCTACAACTCCTGATAAATTTGGTCAGTAGGAAGAATGTTTTTTACACTTGTGGTCATTGGAAAGAATTATCCCTTTTTAGAGCTAAAAGATCAATGGTGTCAGTGGGAACCTATCTGAGAGGTAGAAATTGCTAATTGGCCAAAGAACCGATAGCCACCACTGGAGGAACCTTATGGCTCCATGAAACCCTGCCACAGGTAATTGTTCTCCCAAGGAATTAATCTGCCCTGGAATGAGATCATTTGCCCAGACAGCACTGCTGCAATGATTATGCAAACTCTATTAGTTTTACATCTGCTAAAAATGAGATTGTTCTCTTAAATTCGGTTTACTACTTTGAAGATGACTATTTGATCTGAACAATCTGTCTCCTCAGGGTGACTGCGGTGGCCCCATGGTATGTGATGGAGTGCTCCAGGGTATTGGCTCCCTGGGATATGGCTGTGCTCAGAAGAACTGCCCTGGTGTGTACACAAAGGTCTGCAACTACATCGACTGGATCCAAAGCACTATGCTTGACAACTAAACCTTTATCCAGAAGGATTTTTTTTTTTTTTTTTTTTTTTTTTTTTTTTTTTTTAATGATCCCAGAAACAAATTGGAATTTGCTATCTGCATCAATGAATAAATGTAATAATGGCCTAAACTATGGTGTGCGGGTTTGTTTTATTTTTTAACCTATAAATATATTTTTTTTCCAATAAGACTAGACCAGTGCACCTTCAATTTGTTTTCTTTGTATCTGGCGTCTTTGGACTTCCCCAGTCCTCCGAGGGCCGCAAGGCGTGCGCTATCCAGGATCGATCCATACCCTTTATCAAGTTCACCCCCAAGAGCAGGAATATTTTGTCATTTAGGAAATGGTTACAACTGGCTCGACTCGCTAAATGGTGAAATGAGTCCTGATTATACATGTTTTTCTGCTAACCTGATTCATTGAAATGTAAGCACTCCAGAGTGACATCATACGGTATATGGTTTTACTTAAGCACTTACTATGAGTTAGAAGCCACAGGCAAGATTCCTTGGAAATGCATGCAGACACCCCTCTGTTTAGGGCAACACCATCTCTTCCTTTCATCTATGACAGATAACAATATGAGGAAGATTATGAATGTGTTATAATAATCCTGCACTTCTCTTAATATTTTGTGTACACACATGAATTAAATCCCAAGTACTCCAAACCAAAAAAAATAAATAACTTAAAATACCTACCAACAGAAGGCTGTAAACATAAAAAGTGTTCCCACAATATCAATACATAAAAACAATATACCGGTAATACAGAACTATACTGCACCAACTATTATATTCAGTGAATGTGCAAATACTTTTTTTTTTTTTTTTTTTTCCCTCATATTTCAGTATAGACTATTTAAAAAATGAAGTCTCTGGTGTATTGCTTGCACATGACGTTCCTATATCCTGCTCTTCCACCAGAGAAGACAGGATCAAACAGCCTTTATCACACAGTGCAGAGGATTAGCTCCTTAGGTTCCACAGGGAGTATAACGAGCATGCTTACTGCATATACAGACTGATTGTACTGTTGTGGGTTTAGTCCAGCAATGGGCACACTACGGCCCAGCGGACTTTTTAATCCGGCCCGTGGAGCGTGATACTGTCAGGATGTGTGTAGGCGGGGCAGCATGACGAACATGAGGGGAGCTAGGCTCCTCTCACAGTCCGCCCTGAAGACCGGAACGGCGCGGGAACACGGCGAGAGGAACGCGCGGAGCAAAGGTATGTGAATTGACACAGGGGGGGACTTGGCTTACTACTGGGGGGGGGGGGGGAGGAATGAATTACTATGCGGGAATATTACTATACTTACTATGGATGACACATACACATCATTCATCTACTCTTGGTCCGGCCCCCGGGTCCAATATATGAACCCATTGCGGCCCTCAAGTCAAAAAGTTTGCCCACCCCTGGTTTAGTCCATAGTCACACCAGTGTGAATTTTAATGTGATTTGATCGTTTCAAATCGCATGACAAGTCACACCCTATTGTTTGTCATATCGGTGCAATTTGGACTCTGCTGGAGTTGTACCAATTTGCAGAGTACTTCATGTACTACTTTTTAAAAGTTCAGGTGCAACTTGCATAGACATTTGTGCAGGAAGTTGCACAGATGTCTTGCAAGTGGCACCTGAAGTCAGACTGACATCCAACTTTGAAGTTGCATGATTTCAAAGTCAGATTTGGTGTCACCGAAGACTCTGTAACACGTTTATCATTAGCGATGGTCTTTGCTATTTTTATTTTTACAATATTTAAATTATTTATTCATACTTTGTAACAATCCTCTGAAAGTGTGCACTGTGTGAAAAAAATATAATATATTTTTAGGGCATTTTGGATGAAATGTTTTTAGTGAAACAGGTAAGACAAACAGATCTTCAATCCTCTATATCTGCCACACGTGGGAATTTTATAATCAAACCATACGGCCATTAGGGCGACTGTCCATAGACATGCTGCTATAGGATCTGTTTAATTGCATTTGTAATTGCTAAGGCTGTGTGTCATTGGACAGAACCCCTCCCACTTCTGCTTCAGGGTATAAATTCAGGACAGCAAAAGCTGAAACCTTCACTGAGCAGCTCACAGATCAATCATGAAGCGCCGTGTGGTCGCAGTCATGCTGGGCATGGCAGGTATTAACATAGAAGTATTTGTTGTGAGGCAAACAAGGCACTTGCCCAGGGGGGTGGCACCGTGCCTTGGAAGAAGGAACGTCAGTGATGTTACTACAGCAGAGGAATTCAGTGAGGAGTGGGAGTATCAGACCTCCCCTGGACACTGCCGTCCTCCGGGATCATCTCTCAGTCCTGGCCCCCCCCCCCCCCATCATCCACTGTGGAGAGCTCTGACCCTCAGAGAAACCTACAGCCTGCCTGGGTACACTGCATGCTGGGAGTTGTAGTCCTTCCCCCGCCTCTGACCTGCTGCCTCCACAGGAGTGAACTACAATCCCAGCAGGGTGTACAGGGGGGGAGGGGAAGGACTACAACTCCCAGCATGAAGTCCTCCCAGCCAGGCTGTAGGCTGCTCTGAGGGTTGGAGCTCTCCGCAGTGGATGGTGGTGGGAAGCCAGGGCTGAGTGATGATCCTGGAGGACGGCAGTGTCCAGGGGAATCGGGGATCTCTGTCACAGAGGGGGAAGGGAAATGCAGCTGGGGGGAGGAGGATACATACCGTAGTAAATGGCTCCCCCCCTCGGTCCCCACCCTTCCACCAGGCCTGGTGAGTGATCTCCATCCTACTGCTGTGTATACTATGGGGGGGGGGGGGCTGACAAAGACTGACTAGAGACTGCCAGGTGACTGACTCATGCCACTAACTGACACCTCGCCGCTCATACCACTAACTGGCACCTTCACAGAAAGATGTAGCTGACCACTAATTCCGCCCAGAAAACATTGGCGCACTAGAGACAGTGGGGGTGCACTGGGGAGGGGGGGCAGTGATTTTTGTGTTGCCTAGAGCAGCACAAATCATAAATACACCACTGGTCCTATTGGAGCATGTGACACAACATTGGGCTGTTGGCTACCATTAGGTGTGTATCCTGTAGCACTGGTTGGGGAGCAATTTGTGTACCTTGGATAGTATATTTAACAGACAAAGGGGAACAAGTAAGAGTGTTTATATACACTGTAGACCTTGTACTGTTTTTATTTTTTATTAATTTATGATATTCAAAGAAGAGTTGATTTCTTAAACTGACAGGGACTACTACCATCAACCAAACAAGGTGATCCAAGCATGAGGTAGCTGAGATTTACCAGTAGCACGTCCACTTGGCAGTACTAGGGTCATTGCTTCGAATCCCAGTCATGGCACCCCCTGCCTGGAGTTTGCATGTACTCCCTGTGCCTGGTACTCCAGTTTCCTCCCACACTCCAAACACATGCTGGTAGGTGAAATTGGCTCCTGTCTAAATTGGCCTTAGTATGTGTATGTATGAATGTGAGTTAGGGACCTTAGATTGTACGCCCCTTGAGGGTTAGGGACTGATGTGAATGTACAATATACAGTTGTGGCCAAAATTATTCAACCCCCACTGAAATTGAGTGTTTTGGCCAGTTTGACATTGCTTTTGATCATTCAGTCATCTTGCTTACATTTACATTAAAGAGGCACTTGTAGGTCAGACAAATATAACATAACAGTTATAATGAAATAACCACAATGTCTTTTCTGTGCTCACAGCATTATCAGTTTTATTCAACCCCCAAGTGACATTCAATCTTAGTACTTAGTACAGCATCCTTTTACAGTTATAACAGCTTTTAAACGTGAAGCATAGCTTGACACAAGTGTCTTGCAGCGATCTACGGGTATCTTCGCCCATTCTTCATGGGCAAAGGCCTCCAGTTCAGTCACATTCTTAGGCTTGCGCACTGCAACTGCTTTCTTTAAGTCCCACCAGAGGTTCTCAATCGGATTTAAGTCTGGTGACTGCGATGGCCACTCCAAAATGTTCCAGCCTTTCCTCTGCAACCATGCTCTAGTGGACTTGGAGGTATGCTTGGGATCATTGTCCTGTTGAAAGGTCCAACGTCTCCCAAGCCTCAGGTGTGTGACGGACTGCATCACGTTTCCATCCAATATCTCCTGGTACTGAAGAGAATTCATGGTACCTTGCACACGCTGAAGCTTCCCTGTACCTGCAGAAGCAAAACAGCCCCAAAGCATGATTGACCCTCCACCATGCTTCACAGTAGGCAAGGTGTTCTTTTCATCATAGGCCTTGTTCTTCCTCCTCCAAACATAGCGTTGATCCATGGGCCCAAACAGTTCTAATTTTGTTTCATCAGTCCACAGAACACTATCCCACAACTTTTGTGGTTTGTCCACATGGCTTTTGGCATACTGCAGTCGACTCTTCTTATTCTTTGGAGACAGCAAGGGGGTACGCCTGGGAGTTCTGGCACGGAGGCCTTCATTACGCAGTGTGCGTCTTATTGTCTGGGCTGAAACTTCTGTACCCACATCTGACAAATCTTTTCTCAGTTCCTCAGCAGTCACACGGGGACTTCTCTCCACTCTACGCTTCAGGTAGCGCACAGCAGTCGAAGTCAGCATCTTCTTTCTGCCACGACCAGGTAGCGTTTCAACAGTGCCCTTTGCCTTGAATTTGCGAATGATGCTTCCTAAGGTGTCTCTTGGTATGTTTAACATCTTTGCAATCTTCTTATAGCCATTGCCCTTCCTGTGAAGAGAAATCACCTCTTCTCTTGTCTTCCTGGACCATTCTCTTGCCTTCACCATGTTTGTAACCACACCAGTAAATGTCTAGAAGGAGCTGAGTATCACAGTCATTTTAAAGCTGCCTAATTGGTGCTTATTATGCTTGATTGCTGCTCGGTGACATCCACAGGTGTTTTCAATACCTGATGGAAAGCACCTGTATGAACCTCTGTTCTTCAGAGTGGTAGTCTTTAAGGGGTTGAATAATTGTGGCAATGAAGAAACCACATAAGAACCATTTACTACTGTATTACATAAACAATTGATGTCATTTTAGTTGCATTTGGGTAGTTACAACGTCCTTGTAGGATTTGATTCTGAATACAATTCCAAATGTACACTATAGTCCCTAAACCCCTTTACAGCATTGGGGGTTGAATAATTTTGGCCACAACTGTATGTAAAGCGCTGCGTAAATTGATGGCGCTATATAAGTACCCAAAATAAAGCTGAACTGCTTTAGACCATCACAATGTACAGTCTGAGTCCTGGGAGGCTTTAGCATGAACCTTTATATAGTGGTTTTAGGAAAATGCATATTTTTTTCCCTTTTTTACAGTCATGTATACCTTCTGTTTTGACAGAATTTACCTAACAAATTGCATTTTGAGCTAAATCACACACTTAGGTCTACCTCTGCTAAAATGATTGACCCAACCTTACAAACATAAACTAAAACTCTATTTTTTTTTTACAAAAAATAAATGTATTTGGCAGATGCTGCAGGTAAAATAAAGTGAAGGAAAAAAAACATTACAGCCATTTGGTGGAATGAGCGGGATTTCTGTTTAGCTTAGTTGGTGGCACCAATGCTGGAGATCCAGCCATTGTAGTTGCAGACCTCGTGTTAAGTGATCAATTATATGTTTGTAAGATTGCATATCAATGATTAACCATCTTGTAAAATTGGATACTAATGCAGCTGATTTTTTTTTTACATAACACATTATAACACAACTAAAAATATTTAATTTTTAATAATATTTTATTCACAAAACAGCTGATCTATAGCTATGGTTAGTGATAGATAGCATGAAAAGAGTAGTATTTTAGTTGGCGGCCTGAATGGATCCAGCTGTTGTCGTTGCAGACCTTAGACACCAGGGTAGTTCCTCAGGGCACAGCCGTATCCCCAGGAGACAACACCCTGGAGCTGTCCATTGCAGACCACGGGGGCCACCGGAGTCACCCTGAGAAAAACAGAAATTAGAAAGTCAAAACATTATTAAAGGAATTGGGAAACACAATTGAGAAAAAAAAAGGGTTTTATTCCAAAGTCCATTCTTTTCGACAATGTATTGCATATATTATCCATTAAATGTTGAACACCAGACATCTAGACTAGTCCAACTTTCCTGAAAAGCAAACCACTTACAAACTTCTTAGGGTACAACAAGTGTCTATCATTCCTTAGTAGCATCTGCTAAATGAACATGAAAAATATGAGATGTAACTAGAGTGATTGCTAATCTAAATACCCAATGCGATATGGAAAGGAGATTCTCTATCTCCCATCTTTCATACCCCAAATCCTATAAATCCTGCACTTATGGTCACTTAATCCCAAATGCACAGATCAAGTTTGATAGCACCTACCTTTTGGAGTACTATTATATGAATGGACTTGTGAGCCACTGGAGTACACAATCAGTGTATTAGGTCGCTGGAATCCTTGCTCACCCTCATAGGATGTGTGCTATATGTAAAATCAATTTTATAATTACCGCGCTCTAAGACTACCGTGCCAATAAAATATGCATAAAAAAGTGTAACTAATTGATAATATATACTGTGAGAATATCAACTTATAAACTGCATCACCAAAATAAATCAAATTATATTCACACGATGTATCATCAAAAATAAAAAAACATATATAAATAAAAAATATTTAAATGAATCCAATTGTGATAATTGTGACGTCACCACGCATCTGACCATCATTATGGCGAGTACTGACAGAGTGTGATAACACTCCCACGAGGCTGATCCTCACCGCAATCTGCGGTTTAATTGCATTACAGGTGTGTTTACTATTTGAATAAGGTGAGTGCATTATGGGAGCATATTAAAGATTGTTTTTACATACCTTGGATAAGGCACCATATTCTCATTCCTTTTTTCCTATGGGTCATATGAGGATACATTGAGCATTGGAGTGAGGAGAGGCTCTAGGAGGGAGAAATCCTTATACCTACACAGGCTCAGAAGAGAAGCCGCATGATCCCAGCTACACAACCATAAGCAGCTTGAAAGGAGAGTATATTACTATCATTTTTTTTTTCTCCTCTGCTGAACTTTATTTTTTTGCACTTTTTTTTTTTTTCTTCTGCTGAACTTTATATTTTTTTTTTTTTTTTGCACAATTTGCACACTGGACTTTATGAATTTATTTATTTTTAATTAATTATCACAATTGGATTCATTTAAATATTTTTTATTTATATATGTTTTTTTATTTTTGATGATACATCGTGTGAATATAATTTGATTTACTTTGGTGATGCAGTTTATAAGTTGATATTCTCACAGTATATATTATCAATTAGTTACACTTTTTTATGCATATTTTATTGGCACGGTAGTATTAGAGCGCGGTAATTATTAATTGATTTTACCTTTTGGAGTACATTAACAATTCTGCTTGTTGTGGTTTTTTTTTTTTCTACCCTGACTGGTATTGTTATTAGGCTATAGGTTACAACAGTTAATCATTTATCTTGCCTCCCCCTCCCCCTCCCTCCCCCATCCTCTCCCCCCTCCCATGGTTCCTGCTGTACTGTTCAAATATATTTCCGTAATGTCTATTTTTTACAACTGTTTGCCTTTGTACAACTGTGAACCTATTGTTATCCATGTTCCTTGCTTGCCTTGTAACTTCTAAAATTTATTGAGTTGAATATAAAAATATGAGATGAGTTACCTGGCAAGAATCCTTTCCACCTTCCATGTATCCAACGCAGATCATGTTGCCAGTGATCTCACCAGGGTAAGCACTGTTACACTGGGCAGTGGTCAGAACGGGAGCATTCAGACACTGCAGGAGGTCAGGGTAGTTCGCTAAAGGAGAAAAAAGTGACAAAATAAATATAATCAAAATAAATGGAAAAAGGAAAATGTTGCTTATACTAAAAAGTAAAGCAAAGATAGATGAAGCCTCTAAGCAGCTGCTAATCAACAGGTTTAGGCAAAAGTCTTAAATAACTGTGAGCCAGCTGACCTTGGTGTGATCATACCTAGCAAGCCCACAAATCCTCCTAAGGGTTTGTTCACACTTGACTAAATTTCTAACTCTTCAAAAACGCCCCCATAGCCTTAGACAGGCATTAATGAGCTTTAGTATGGGTGGTCTACAAGTATTTTCCAAGCATTAAAACCGCACTACAAACGCTTATAATAAACTCTAATGTTGTTAACGCCCCGCAAACGCCTCACAAATGCCCCAAAAAAGCCTGCCAGGAGGAGCTTCACCATAGACTTAAATGGGAGGCACTAAAAGGCTTCAACTCCTCCTGACTCGACATGAGGCTTCAATTTTGTACTAACGCTTCATGTTTTGCTATTGTGTACAGCACTGTGTGCTGTCCATAGTATCATTTCCATAGGCATTTGAGGAGCGTTAAAAACGCCCCTTAAACGTCTGCTTTCAAAGCTAGTGTGAACTAAGCATGAAGGTTTTTTTTTTTTCACAAATTGTTTACTATGTTTAATCAGTTTCTTGGATAAATATAGATTATGGAATTGTTAAAACCACTGGCTTTTTTTTTTTCATTTTTTGCCATCTGTGTCTAATTGGGGAGATATTTTCTTGCTTCTTGTCCTGTAGAAACAGGAAATTAGAGGATGTCTCTTCAAAGTGAGAGAAAATCCCTACTCAGACCATTGGATGATTTACCCAATATTCCTTCTCTGGTGACAACTCATAATTCTGCATGTAAATTCACTTTCAGGGTAGTGATATTGTAGTGATCAACAGGGCAAAAAAAAAAAAAGAAAATTCCAAGTGGGAACACAGACAGCAATCCTTCCCCATTTCATCTGGAAAAACATATTCTGGTTTTAGATACACTTTAACTACACAAGTGGCTTAGGAGATTAATGGTCAATTATATAATTGTCTGGACTTACATCCGCTGCTGAGAGTGTTGCCCCATCCGGAGATCAGACAGCTGGTGGTGGCAGCAGGACAGCCAGTGGGCAGAGCCACGGAGAGGTGAGCTTGACCAACATGATGTCGTTGTCCAGGGTTCTAGAGTTGTAGCTGGCATGTCTGATGATCCTAGCAGCATCGATGAACTGCTCGGCTCCCTCAGAGGCAGCGATGTTGTGCTCTCCCGGTCTGACCTGCATGCTCCTGGATCTTTTATGTCTAACTGCCATTTATTGTATGTCTCGAAGCAGGTGGACAGCAAAAATGCATGGCGGGGGGCTCCAGGAAAATGTTTGCCAAGGTGTAATCAATATTAAAGACGATCCTGGTTCTATCCATCACACACTTTTAAAGGCTCTTCTGTCTTCAAGACCCACAAAAAGCTATAGGTCAACCTTGTGTGGACCACATTTCCTTCCAGACCATGTTTGGAAAGGCAGCCGTCAGCACTAGGAAACTGGCACCCTTTAAAATTAGGGTGTTTTTATCTTGCCAGTATTGTGCTTGTTGCTTTTAATCAAAGTTTAAATAAAATCATGTGAAGGCCATCGCTATCCAGATTTTACTTTAATAACACTAAATCGTTCAAAGATTTCCAGATCTAACAACGCTCCATGTTTGGTTGGGGCAGCTAGAAAATGTCCTATAAAATGATTCTGTGATCAGTTTACAGCTTTTTTCGTTTTTAGCTGTGCCGGCAGTAGAGGAGATGCTCAGTATTTAGTGATGGAGAATTACAAATCTTTTTGCAGTATTTTTCTTTCTTTTCAAAAATATGTTGTCCAGCACAAATGACAGTGAGAGAGGTCGGGAAGACTGTCAGGGTTCCTTGCACAGTTGCAGGAGCAGTTGTTTCATTTCCTGCAAGAGGATTTATTCCTTGAGAATAGGGATGACCATGACAAGCACCATGGATTGGGCCACATTTTGACCCATGAATGTCCATTCCCATTCATGAGAAGTCAATCTATCGCTCGACTTTTCATGAATGGGCTTGTTGGTGCATATTCACTCAATCAGCGAATGCAGCCAATAAACTGCAGTGTTGATCAGTATATTCTGATGGCGGGGAAGGATTTGTCCATCCACCTCAAATATGTGGATGAGAAAATCAGTTCAGTCTTTTTTCGTTCAGCCAACTGGCTGAATATTAAAATTGAGCCATGTGTGGCCAGCTTAATAGATTGTCCCAGTGTGTCACTTTTGTAGGACACCTTGGTCTGCATGTTAATAAAAAATCAAAATACAAATGATATGCATACTGTTACTAATTGAGAAGAGTTATCAAAATTAAATAATTTTTTTTATAGTAGTCCTATAATAATTCATTAATAAGTAAATCAAGAAAAGAGACCGTCTAGTCAGCCCCTCCATAATCCAACCAACCAGCCAGCCAGCCAACCAGCCAACCAGCCAAACAACCAACCGACTAACCAGCCAGCTAACCAATCTACAAACCAACCATCCAGCCAAAAAATCATGTAAAGTAAATCAAGACAGTAGACCAACTAGTCAGCCTCTCCATAATCCAACCAACAAGTCAGCCAGCCAATCAATCAAACAACCAACCAACCAATTAATATATTAAACCAACCAGGCAGCCAGCCAAATCATGACTCCAAACCAGGGGTGGACTGACCATTTGGGCACTCGGGCACTGCGCGAGGGCCCGGGATCAGTAGAGGGCCCCTGGTACCTTTCTCAGGCTTTTTTGTGTGTGGTTTGAGTGTGGGCGAGGCCACAGGGACCCCATGATCCCCTATTGCCCGGGGGCCCCATGAGTTGTCAGTCCGCCCCTGCTCCAAACTAATCTAGTATAAACTAGTGTCATCAAAATTCTACTTACGACATGTAGCAGTGAGCAGCTGAGAGCACCCACAAGGAGTTGAGGAGGGATCCACCACAGAAGTGATATCCAGCATTCAGAGATACCTGGTAGGGGATGGAGTTCTTGGTGCAGGTGTAACCTCCAACGATCTTGTCATCATCCAAGGCAGCTGGGAATAAAATACACTCGTGTCATTCAGAAACTCGGAGTAAAACCATGAAGGCCATTAAAATTACAAAATAGAAAGTACTTTGTGCATTTGTTAACATCTATATTGTTGTACAAAAGGATTTTTCCTTTCAAGCGCAAGTATAGAGGACCTACCAGCTGCTCCAAGGAGCACACAAATCAGAAGGAGTTTCATGATGGTAAGGTGACCAGTGAGTGACCCGTTGGACTTACTGTAAGAAGGGTATTTATATGTTTAGCTGCACACCACCTATCTGGGTCGGTACATGTATACTTCTGTTAATGTATACACAATATTTACACTATATGCTCAGAGTGGGCATATTTATCAGCAATCTTGAGATACCATTTTGGTCATGGAAAGAAAATTTTATCAAAGCTCCATGCAAATGTTATTTTAATCATTCTACACAGCCATAGGAAACCTGTAATAATTAAACTTACATTTGGTCTTCAAAAGACAAAATACATTTAAGTGTGGCGGTAGAAAATTTTGAGGAAAAAATATTCTATGCCATTATAATTCTTTTCCATGCAGAATCAGATGTTCATTTACACTTCCTCTCTTATTTAGGAGAGGATACATTTACACATATGCATGAAAAATACATTGTTGATGTTTTTTTCATGGTTACATTGCTGACTTTGCATATTACATATTTACATATATGCAGTCCACACACAGAGCATTTTTAAAAAGGGTTGTGTGCATGTTTTTTTTTTTATTATTATTTTTATTCGGATTTTCAATTTTTCTTTTCACAAGATAACAAAAGGAACAAAATATACAGGATCTCGATACAGAAGGACCAGGCAGGAAACAGAAACAACAAATGAATGGCATATCAACCGAAGTGTGTATGTTTGGATTGGTGCAATCCAATATTGAGCTCCACAGAGTTGAATGGAAACGGTATGTGAAACGCCTATCTGTGCACATGTACAACTCAATTTACATTTCCACCACAGTGCCAGTGTGCTGGGATGAATGAGTTTGTTAAGACATCCAAATCAAAAACCATAGGATCATCAGTTTTGACTCTAATCTGACCTCTTAGGCTGCATACCTGCTCAAGGTCAGGGACTCAGAAAATGGTTCAACTGGAGACAATCAGGCTACTAATATTTTCAGAAGTAGATCACCTGGATAAGTCGAACTCCAGCTTTACAGAAGCAGGTTGCCTCTTACTGACTCCACTGATGGACTTCATTGTCTTGCTATAGGGCACCAGTGGCTTTTTGGTGGTGGGAACTCATAAGCCATTAATCCAAAAATTAATGACACCCAGATAATTTCATTTAAAAATGTTCAGGTCTCATGTCCACAAAAAAGAAATGTGTCTTACTGAGCGCACGGACTGTTTTTTTTCTTGCTCCCATTACCCTCAGTGTTTTATCTGTCCTCCACAGCTCCACTCATTTCCTATGAGGATGGAAAACATGGAAAAAAAGTATTTTATAAAAAACGAAATGCAATTTATACAAAATACTTTAGAAGGCTAAATGTCATTCTGTGATGTTTTACACTTACTTATTTTGAATCTGAGCTACAGCTAAAAGTATTAATCTTCATATCTAAAGATTATTCAAATACACATAACGTGTAATAACAATATAATGGCCGCAGCATGTTCATGAGCTCAGTGTCTTGATGTGTGTTTTGCCGGATTAATAACTCAGCCAAGGTTCTGAATTGTTTGCTGATTGGTTTAAAATGGGTTTAAGAACAAGTTCCTGATACGCTGCAAGAATATATACACTAGACCAGAGGTCAGCAACCCTTCCCAGAATAAACATCAATTTATAAGCATTAGACAACAGGTGTACCCGGGAAGAACAGAATACCGGAGTTGTATTATTTTCCATTTTTGTACTCATAGTTGTACTGCTAATGACAAATGATCAGCCCCAGTTACTGCACCTTCACACCTCAGATCACACCCAATTCTTGCACCATCATACCTCAGATCACCCCAATTCCTGTGCTTTTACACCTCAGATCACCCCAATTCCTGCACATTCATACCTCAGATCACTCCAACTCCTGCATTTTCACTTTTCAAATCATCCCAAATCCTGCACTTTCATACTTTAGATCACCCCCGATTTCTACACTTTCCCATCTCAAATCACCCCAATTCTTGCACCTGCATACCATAGATTACCCGTTTCCTCCACCTTCACACCTCAGGCCAACCCAATTCCTGCATCTGCCCATCAGTGCCCACCTGTGCCAAGCAGTGCCGCCCACCTGTGCTTAGAAGTGCCACCCACCTGTGCCCATCAGTGCAGCCCAGCAGTGCCGCCAGTCAGTGCCCAGCAGTTGCGCCAGTCAGTGCTGCCTCTCAGTGCTGACTATCAGTACCCATCATCAGTGCCACTATCAGTGCCACCTAATTAGTGCTGCCTATCAGTGCCGTCTATCAGTGCCCATCAGTGCTGCCTATCAGTGCAGCCTCATCAACGCACATCAGTGAAGGAGAAAGAATACCTGTTTGCAAAATTTTCTAATAGAATCAAAGAAAAATTTTTTTCAAAATGTTTTGCTCTTTTTTGTTTTATAGCGCAAAAAGTAAAACACCCAGCAGTGAGTAAATACAACCAAAAGAAAGCTCTATTTGTGAAAAAAAGTTCATATGGGTATAATGTTGCATGACCATGCAATTGTCATTCAAAGTGCAACAGTGCTGAAAGCTGAAACTTGGCCTGGTAAGGAAGCGGTATAAGTGCCGGTAGGCAAGGGGGTAAAAAGGAGATCTATAGTCAAAGCATACATAATTATTTTATAACATCAGCACTGTGATAACAATACAAACAATAATTATTTTTGATAGTCCATTATAAGTGTGCGACTTTAAATAAGACCACATATATGTAAAAGCCGAGATCATTCAATGCAAGGGGACTTTCAGTCATGTTTGGTTCTGAGGGATTCAACATCAGGACTCCCATGAGTTTCATGAATAGAAGAACAACTAATAAAGTTTAAAGTGTTTGTAAAGCCAAAACCTTTTTTTTCTAGTTTTGGATATAATGATGATGGGTCACTACCCCTGGCAGGTCCTTATTGCTGTCTGTTTCCTCGTTAGGGAGATTCACTGTTGGGGACAAGCTTGTGCTCGGTCAGATCCCATGTTTGGCTTTGTCCGGAAGGGAACTGTCATTCCTGGTCCAATGAGCTACGGGCAGGGGATTCCCTCAAGGTTCACAAAGGGACCTCAGATTTCACATAGGAGGATTAACTAAAAAAAAAATATTTCCTCCATGGTTTTACAAAAGGGTGGGGAAATGGTAGGAAAAGTTCTAGAGTCCACAAACTATGGTATACAGTATATATCTTACAATTGATCAATCCTGATGTACTGACGTACATGTATCTAATTTCTTGAGGCCCAAAAATGCCAGGACAGTACAAATGCCCCCTGAAATGACCCATTTTTGGAAAATAGGCAGTCCAAGGTATTTTGGTAAGAGGCATGGTCAGTTTTTTGAAGTTGTTATTTTTTGTCATACTTTTTTTGAAAATGAAGGCGATTACTGACAGTATGTAGAAAAAAAATTTAATTTTTATTTTTAAAAATTTTTTTCTATGATTTGTTTTCTTTTTAATTATATTTTTTTTCTTTTTTTTACAATTGTTTTCAGCACACTGTGACCAGAGCAATACAATGTTACCAATAGTAACACTGTACTACTCTGGGCAAGTGATGAGGACTTTTTTTTAAACAACGTTATGATTGCTAATACCATGTGCCACGTGAGCGGCGCCTTCTGACAGGACGTCATTTGAAGCCCACTGAGAAGGAGGAGTGTTCCGCCCGGACCCGCCAAGCTGCTACAGGCTGGGCGGGAAGGTGTTAACTCTTCCATCTGTTCCTCTCAATAGGAGTTAGTTCTTCCTTTCCCACTTCTCCCTTTCGGGGTGTGACATTATACAATTATTTAATTTGAATGGGCTGCTGTGCCCATTTCCCAGAGAAAAAAATGCGCATGCACCTTTTTAAAAAATGTTTTTTTAACCATGTGATATCCCTGCAGTTTCCGCACCCGCAAACACACTGCAGGCTGAGATACATGGGACGCCATTCAGAATGAATTGCAACCCCTTGCTACTCGTAAGAGCAGTGCGATTTTGGCTGCGGGTGGTTGCGGGGGTAGGAACAGGTGCGATTCCTGTACCAGACCCCAGACTGCGGACAAGTGTGAACTTAGCCTTGTGGTTGGAAACGTTATGACACTTCAGTCATTTTTCGAGTCATTAGAAGAAGCTCTCTCCAATAGGGCACACGTTGCACTGTATTTCTTTTTTTTTTTTACCTTTCATCTTCACCCCCATTCTTCTTTCCATTTTGCTAATATTTCCTCCTACATGCCCACATGTAATTGGCATGACAAATGCAGTATGAAAGCACACCAAATGAATTTCAGATGTCTGTGTACACTAGCCCTATAGAGTTATTCCCCGAAGAATGGATTTTTTTTACAATACTTTATGTAGTTTTTAACTGATGAAGGTAGAAGATATACATTATAATAGGTTTAAAAATGTTTTGAAATAGGTAAGATTCTACGGTGCGAAGAGAGGAACAGGAGGTGCCAAGCTAAGTGCCGTATGTAACAGTAACGTCTAATAGTAGTAATAAAAACACTCACAAGAGCAAGAAATAAAAAAAGCTCATCTGTGTTATGGATGTAAGACCACTCTGACTCTGTTCTGTAGGATATCACCAGTGTGTTAGGGGTGACAACAGGATGGAAAAAGCCTTGGGTGCAGTGTGCAGTCTTCCTAGGATGTGTGGGAGGATGGTGGAACCGATGGACGGCGTCCATTCCTGGGAGAAGCAGGAAATGGCCGCACAACCAGCGTGGAACGCACCGGCGGAACATATGTCCTAGGAAGTCTCAAAGGGTCAGATATCCAGATTACACAGAGAAAAGCAGCAGAAACAACAGGCTACGCGCTCGGAGCATT